TTTGCATAAACAGTCCCTACTAGGGATGACAATAGGGGTACTACAATCCCAAGCAAGGACTGTTAGTATCAGGGGGGAACATCCCAACTTAGAGTCCTAGAGAATTTCCACTTGCAAAACCTAGGCGATGAAGCCCGCTGCGCGATGCTTTTCACAAACGCAAGGTTCGCAGAAGAACTCGGCAGCCGAGTTCATGTTACCTTAAACCCTATAGACCCTCAACCCAAACCCTCAACCCCAAACATCCCCAAAATGATCCCTAACCCCCCCCCCCCAAAAAAAAAACAAAAAAAACCCTCAACCATCCTAAACCCCAAAATACCCCCCGAAACCCTAAACCCTAAACCTTAACCCCTAAACCCGAACCCTAAACCCACAACTTCCCCCCAAAACCGCCTCCCTCTCGTCCTTGGACCTCCCTAAACCCTAAACCCTAAACCCTAAACCCTAAACCGTCCTTGGACCTCCCAGAGAAGCCCCAGAACTCGGCTTCGACGTTGCCGGCCACACCTGTGATGGTCTCCTTGAAGCTCGGGAGGGGTTTAGGGGTTTAGGGTTTAGGGTTTAGGGTTTAGGGTTTAGGGTTTAGGGGTTTAGGGTTTTAGGGTTTAGGGTTTGGGGTTTAGGGGTTTGGGGGTTTAGGGGTTTAGGGGGTTAAGGGTTTAGGGTTTAGGGTTCAGGGGTTTAGGGCCGCTCGCCAAGTTGTGGAGACCCTACCCCAAAACCAACTTCGCCCACAAAAGCCCTAACCCCGGAACCCCCAACCCCCTAAACCCTCATTGCGCGCCTTTCATCCCTACAGCTGCGGCGGGGCTCGAAGCCACTACCTACGGGCCTGAAAACGAGATGCCCGCCTTCGGGCGGCGGATCAAAAACACACAAACAAAAAAAGGGACTTCACACAAACGAGCCTAGCCACTTCGCTTCGCACCGCAGGCCGAAGAATCATCGGAGGGTTGGGCACTCCGCAGATACCCAAGCGGGACTCTTGCTGGGCTCTTTTTTTGAAGAACGGCACTCCGGGGATGCTCGTCGCTAAGAACAAAAACCTTCATTCCAAAAAAGAAAAAAAGTATAAACCTCAAAAACCGATGAAAACAAAACCTCCGTTCAAAAAAAAGGGGTGAACCTGAACCGATGAGAGCCCTTCTCCAACGCTTTGGTAAGGCCGGCTGTCCATCAAAGGGGGCGCTTCGGAGAGCTCTTAGGGGCTTAGGGAGTCGAGGGGTCAGTTTGGGAGCTTAGATCTAGGGCGGTTTAGGGTGTGAAGCGGGCTTTGGAGGCTTGGGGCTTAGTTTGGGTTTCTTCGTCTTTCCGATCAACCCTAAACCCTAAACCCCAGTGATCTTTAAGGCTTGGGGCTAGGGGGCACCCAACTGCTGCCAGTCCGAGCGGCAATGTCCAGCATCGACTCGACGCCAGCTGATCCTTCTCCAGGGTCAAAGAAAGGACAGGGGGCTTAGGGTTTAGGGTTTAGGGTTTAGGGTTTAGGGTTTAGGGTTTAGGGTTTAGGGTTTAGGGTTTAGGGTTTAGGGTTTAGGGTTTAGGGTTTAGGGCTTATCAGGAAGGGAAGGAACCGAACCGCGAACCGTGGAACCGGAACCGTCAGAACCGGAACCTGTGAACCGAGTAGTAAAACCGGAACCGTCGAACCGAACCGAAATAGAAACCGAACCGTAAAAGGTTCTAATTCCCCGGGTTAGGGGCCAGGGTTCTCTTCGCTCTCCCCTGCTTGTCTGGGGGTTTGGGGCCGCTTCAAGGCCTTTGGAAGAGCCCTTCTAAGGCCAAAAGGGCCAGAAATTCCTAACACATTGTGTTAGGGCGATTTTGGGGGGTTTGGGGCCGCTCAAAGCCTTTGGAAGAGCCCTTCTAAGGCCAAAAGGGCCAGAAATTCCTAACACCTTGCGTTAGGGCGATTTTGGGGGTTTGGGGCCGCTTCAAAGCCTTCGGAAGAGCCCTTCTAAGGCCAAAAGGGCCAGAAATTCCTAACACATTGTGAGGCATATTTCGGGAACCGTGCGAACCGCGAACCGAACCGTCCGGAACCTTCGCTCAAAACCGAACCGCCGAACCGAACTGCAGAAAAAGAAACCGTAACCGAACCGAACCGTCCGTTCCCTGGTTTATGGGGTTGATACAGGGTTCGGGGTTTAAATTTATAGGATTTCTAGCGTTTATGGGGGTTTATCGAGGGGTTATAGGGTTCATAGGGTTCATCGGGTCTGTAGGGTTTGCAGGGTTTCTAGGGTTTCTCAGGTGCTGACATAGACATGTACCCATGCTACGACTCCACTACGAATGTATACATGTATACTTGCCTGTTCGTACATGTTTCGACCACGCAAGCCCTTGCCGGACAGCATCGCACCCCAAACCGTAAACTCCTAGTGAGCGCTACATCAATGAGGCTGCACGAAGGGGGAGCTCAGGCTGGGAGCTAGAAAATGCCCTTGGCTTCAGAACTACTCACCTGAAACTTCCATGAAGGCCTCTGCATCTACGCACTCCACACTCGCGGAATCAAAGCCCCTCCCCCCCAAGGCATTCAAAGGCCAAAGTGTTCAATGCCCCAAACCCTAAACCCTAAACCCTAAACCCTAAACCCTAAACCCTAAACCCTAAACCCTAAACCCTAAACCTAAACCCTAAACCCCCCCGCCTGCCACGTAGTCTCCGACCAGCTTGGGGGCACCCTTGCCGCAGGTGATGCCTTGGCGGCTCTTGGGGCCCAGGAGTCTCCATGTCGGGAGAAGGACTATAGGCTGGCCCTTAAAAGCCTCCTGAAAAAATATTCCTGAATCTGATCCCCCTCAAAACCAATAAGGAACATGATCCCCCTCAAAACCAATAAGGGCAAAGATAACATGTCCCCTAAGGGCCCACCGAAGAGGAGGTTTAGGTGCCCTTGGGCTTCAGGGAAAAGTCACATCGAAGTCAAGTGTCCTCCAGATTTTAGGTTTGGGGCTTTGGGGCTTCGCGCGCGTCGGCCTCCGCAGAACAGCTTCCAGAAGGCTTCCAGCGAGCGCTCGCTGTAGCCTCGGGACGTTGGCTCAAGGTACCAGGCACCCGAAAATACCCAGGTTCCTGTAAGCTAGGACTCTTCAAGTCTAGTAGGTACCTTCCGGGCGTGGAGGTGGACACCTTCCGAAGGGAACGCCACACTTGGGAGTTTACGAAAATAAGGGACCCCCAAATAGCAGGCTTCCCTTTTTTACAAGGACGCCAAGAAGGTACCCCTGATTTCGGAAATCTGCACTTGGCACCCCGAACGAGACGGTCGCCTATTTCCACATATACTGTGCGGATGTAGGGAAGGGGGGACTTGACCGCTCTGCACGCCCCTCTTTGCTTGTGAAGGTTAGGGTTTCAAGTTTAGGGTTTTCACAAGGGGTTTAGGGCTTAGGGTTTAGGATTTAGGGCTTAGGATTTCGGGTTTAGGGTTTAAGATTTAGGGTTTTGGGCATTTTCGATGAGATCTTTGACTCAACATGATGCCCCGAAAAGTCGTACGAACGCCGCGACCCCACCCCCCCGCCCTGATACAATATTTAAAAACAATTGAGCTCAAATAGTTTAGCGTTTTGGGTTTTCGGGTTTGGCGTTCCCCCCAAAACCCCCCTGTTTTGCTGAGGGTGTTTGCCTCGTATTAAGGTTTATGGTTCCGGGTTTGCGTTTTATGGTTCTTCGGGGTCCTGGTACCATTTTGAGCCAAAGGGAACACAGGGGAACCTTAGCTATGCTCCCCTTATTGGTAGTATTCGGCCTCAGAATCTGCAACACCGACCCGGCCCTAAACCCTAGACCCTAAACTCTAAACCCTAAACCCTAGACCCTAAACCCTAAACCCTAGACCCGAGACCCTAAACTCGAAATTGCTCTGTCCTCCCTGCCTTGTTCCAGGAAGGCCGTCACAGCCATGCGGTTGGAGGCGGCCTCGTCCGAGAGCATTTGGTGCTTAGGGTTTAGGGTTTAGCGTTTAGGGTTTAAGGTTTAGGGTTTAGGGTTTAGGGTTCCGGGCTTAAGGTTTAGGGTTGAGGGTGTAGGGTTCAGGGGTGGCTTGGGTTTCAGGCCTCAAAACGACCACCCCAGATCGCAAGATGGCTCCAGCTCATGCACAACGTCACTTTGCCTCGTAGTTCTCTGACGCTTCAAACCACCCCAAGCCCTGATGGCCGAAGCCCCCGACTGTCTTCCTAAACCCTAAGACCCTGAAACCCTACACCCGAAACCCTAAACCCCAAACTCGACACCGTAAGCCTACACCTGACCCTGAACCCTAAACCGTAAACCCCTCAAGCCCTCCAACCTGAACCTCCCAGCCCTCCCACCCATGTGCCTTGCCCTCCGCATCCACGTTGTAAAGGCTCCTCGCACGTAGGACGTGGATTGATACACATCATGTTTTGGGCTCCTCGGCCTTTGGGGTTTAGGGTTATAGGGGTTATTTGGGGTTTATAGGGGCTTATAGGGGTTTATAGGGGTTGATAGGGGTTGATAGGGGTTGATACGGGGTGATAGGGGCTGATAAGGGATGAGAGGGGATGATAGGGGTCTACTCCAGGGGTTTAGGGGACTTGGGTAAGGTGGAGGTAAGGGGGTTTAGGGGTTTAGGGCTTCAGGTTCTTAGCCTGGGGGAGTTTGGGCGGATTTAGGTGACTGAACGACTGCTCTTCAGCCCTGAGGTGTGAAAACCCCTTCTGAGCCCTCTAAGCCCTGAAGCCCTCGAGGCCCTCTAAGCCCTCTAAGCCCTCTAAGCCCTCTAAGCCCTCTAAGCCCTCTAAGCCCTCTAGGCCCTCTAAGCCCTCTCAAAAAACCCCCAAAACCCCCCATAAAACTCACAGCCGCCCCCCCCGCAGTGGGCCTGAGGTGCTTGGGCGAGTTGGAGTCGAAGAGGGTGGGGTCCTCGTCAGGGACTTGGGAATCGAACCCTGAACCCTACGCCCTACTTGGAGGCTCATGGTACTTACGAACAACCGAATATATTTATACCTATCACCCAC